GGGAGGCGCCCGAGGGACCAGGGGGACATCCAGGGGGACACAGCGGGGACGATGAGGGGGACGAGGGCGGGAGGCGCCCCAGGGCCGCGGGGGCAGTGCCCGGGCGCCGGCAGCAGCGCGTGGGCGCAGGCGCCGTGCCGCGTGCACCTGGCCGCCGTGCTGCGGGAGCTCAAGGCCGCGCTGCACCGCGGCGCCCACGACATCTTCATCCCCAACTGCGACACCAGGGGCTTCTACCGCACCAAGCAGGTGGGGACCCCCCCCCCGGACCCCACGGGATGGGTGCTGTGGGGGGGACACCCAGAACTGCCCCCTGCAAGCCACAGGGTCCCCACACTGGGTGTCCTGGTAGGATGGGAACCCCAGCCCCCCCCCACCGCCCCAATGTCTTGATCTCCCCAAATTGGGTGTTCTGGCGGGGGGGGGGCACCCAGGACCATCACCACCCGGTGCCTCAGTTTCCCCAGATGGGTCACGGGGGGGGAGGGAGGGTGAATCCCCCAGAGCCCCCATTTCCTTGCGTGGGGTGCAGAGTCTGGAGCCTCTCGTGCCTCGGTTTCCCTGTGGTGTTTAGCTTTTTATTTATTACTGGGGAGGGCCACGTGAGGTCCCTCATGCGGGAGCCTGGTACCTAACCCCTAAAATGTACCCCAAAACCCTCACTGTACCCCTAAATCCTAACCACACCCCTAAACCCTAACTGTACCCCTAGCCCCTACCCCGTTATCCCTAACCCTGGGCTCCAAGTGCACCCCTCACCTTAACTTGCCCCCCCGCAGTGCCGGGCCTCCCGGGGGCCGAAGCGGGGGCAGTGCTGGTGCGTGGACAGGACGGGGCACCCGCTGGCGGGCACCGAGGGGCAGGGGGGGGCCGCCCGCTGCCCCCCCGGCACCCCGGCCTGAGTGCTCCCCCCGTGGGAACTGGGGTGCAGCCAAAGGGGAAGGGGCGCCCCCCCCCCGCACGGGGTCCGGCCGCCTGCATCGAACCGAGCGGGGAGGGGGCACCCCGAGACCCCCCCCCCCCATGGGGCTGCTCTGGGCACCCCAGAATCACGAGGCGGGAGGGGGGGCAAATCCTGTGGATACGGGGGGAGGGCAAAGAGGTGGGATGGGGAGCGAGGCGGGGTGTGGTGTGCCCCCCCCCACACTGCACTGGGTGGGGGGGTCCCCAATAAAACCCGATTTCGGTAAAAACGGAGCCGGAAGGAGGTTTCGTTGCTGTTTGTTGCGCTCGGGTGGCCGGTTTTGCCTGTGCAGGGCTGCGGCTTTGGGGCTGCTCCCCGCCTT